CATGAGCAACGCTGAAGCTAATGCTTTACTTCATAGAGATCAATAGGGGCTTTCGCACCGGATAGTTGTAGGAACGGGCCACCCGGGTGGGTCCCGGAGAACTAATGCTTCCCATAGGAACGTTTTCCTGGCTGCATTCGCACCGCTAGTAGGAACTCTGGAGAGACGTGAGCCGCGCTTGTTGTGACCTTTATGTTGATGGCTCTGAGAACGCCTGAGCCTGAGGAAACGGCGCTCGCATTCTCCGTGTTCATTCGTTTACGATCTAACAGTGCCGTCTAATACGTTATTAGATTGAACTGCCATACATCGAAATTTAGACAGTTAAAGTTATTAGCGTATGCCGTGCGGTTGATGTCCAGTGTCGCTGAGCAGAAATACTTAATCCTGTTTCTCTCGGTCTCAAAGTTGCGTTGGATTTTCTCCTCAGCGTAAAGGGTTAGATGCTCATCTATCACTGTTTTACATGTTCGCAGAGTTAGTTTGAGGATTAAATATATAGGCTATAATCTGTGTTTACAGCCTTTTTAATAATGGCGGGTGCTGGTGTTTCGCGTGCGTTCGGCCAATCAGCGAACACTAACGTCTCGGATAGTCCCTATAGACTCTGAAGTAGGAGTAAATTAGTTCCTCCAAAAGAGTTCCTAGAACTAATAGTTCCTGTGGCGCGAACACGCCTAACTCCGGGATCTCCCGCCAATAGTTGTAGGACCGATGAAGAGGTTCCTGCGGTGCGAAAGCCCCTAATGGCATTGATTCTCTCTCTCAACCTCTCGCTCACATTCACTCTGTTCAGGCTTGTTGATAAGTGCAAATCCACGGAGCCTCTGTACAAATCACCATAAACTGAGTCTTAACTTATTCAACGTTTAATACTCATGCACAATGTGTACAACAGATTGCTTGCGTTCCTCTGCGGTGAGATTGTCAGTATCGCGGTATTACAGTATTGTGGTGATCGCCACTGCCCGACTTGGCACTGAATCTAACGCAACAAATGTTTAGACAAAACTATGTAATTTGCATAAATATTGGTGCAATATAAATGTTGCATGGTAAAGTGTGTGCATGTAGTTGCATATTTAATTACGCTGTTTGCTTCTGCTTCTGCTAGTCCTAACTTAACCCTGAGCCCTAACCCTGTGTGTGTGTGTGTGTATCGCCTCAATAGCAGCAAAAGTCCGTCTGGTGAGAAACTTGCTAAATTTGTTCAGTCTACCTTTGAATCAAATGCTGTATTTTCTAAAGCACGTGTGTAGTTGAAGACACCCAGTATAGAGCGTGATCAGTGTGTTCGACGCCTCTGACCCGTTGCACACACACTGGGAGTGTGCGTGTGGTGGTGCTGTAAGATGAGGCTCACAGATGCTGTTTTCAGGCCTTCTCTAGTTTGGCTGAGGCGGCGTATGAAGCGACCGACGCTGCGGAGGATCAGGAGGAGCCCAGCACGTACTGCCTGTCCTCGTCCTTCGAGCTCATCGTGCAGAAGCTGCTGGAGACCACGGACAGGTAAACACCACGCCTGACACTCCTTTCAGTAACTTATGCAAGATAAACTTCTAATTAACTCTTATTTTCTTTCAGTAAGGGTTAGGAAAAGGCAGTGCATAAGCTTCAGACGCCATCTTGTACCTTGTTTCCTAAATACCTGCTGCTGTAGGGTTAGGGTCAGGTTAGGGTCGCTGCCGTCCAGAACGGGTCAGGTTAGGGTCACTGCCGTCCAGAACGGGTCAGGTTAGCGTCGCTGCTGTCCAGAACAGGTCAGGTTAGGGTCGCTGCCGTCCAGAACGGGTCACGTTAGGGTCGCTGCCGTCCAGAACGGGTCAGGTTAGGGTCACTGCCGTCCAGAACGGGTCAGGTTAGCGTCGCTGCTGTCCAGAACAGGTCAGGTTAGGGTCGCTGCCGTCCAGAACGGGTCAGGTTAGGGTCGCTGGTGTCCAGAACAGGTCAGGTTAGGGTCGCTGCCGTCCAGAACGGGTCAGGTTAGGGTCACTGCCGTCCAGAACGGGTCAGGTTAGCGTCGCTGCTGTCCAGAACAGGTCAGGTTAGGGTCGCTGCCGTCCAGAACGGGTCAGGTTAGGGTCGCTGGTGTCCAGAACAGGTCAGGTTAGGGTCGCTGCCGTCCAGAACGGGTCAGGTTAGGGTCACTGCCATCCAGAACGGGTCAGGTTAGGGTCGCTGGTGTCCAGAACGGGTCAGGTTAGGGTCGCTGGTGTCCAGAACGGGTCAGGTTAGGGTCGCTGCCGTCCAGAACGGGTCAGGTTAGGGTCGCTGCCGTCCAGAACGGGTCAGGTTAGGGTCGCTGCCGTCCAGAACGGGTCAGGTTAGGGTCGCTGCCATCCAGAACGGGTCAGGTTAGGGTCGCTGCCATCCAGAACGGGTCAGGTTAGGGTCGCTGCCGTCCAGAACGGGTCAGGTTAGGGTCGCTGCCGTCCAGAACGGGTCAGGTTAGGGTCGCTGCCGTCCAGAACGGGTCAGGTTAGGGTCGCTGCCGTCCAGAACGGGTCAGGTTAGGGTCGCTGCCGTCTAGAACGGGTCAGGTTAGGGTCGCTGCCGTCCAGAACGGGTCAGGTTAGGGTCGCTGCCGTCCAGAACGGGTCACGTTAGGGTCGCTGCCGTCTAGAACGGGTCAGGTTAGGGTCGCTGCCGTCCAGAACGGGTCAGGTTAGGGTCGCTGCTGTCCAGAACGGGTCAGGTTAGGGTCGCTGCCGTCCAGAACGGGTCAGGTTAGGGTCGCTGCCGTCTAGAACGGGTCAGGTTAGGGTCGCTGCCGTCTAGAACGGGTCAGGTTAGGGTCGCTGCCGTCCAGAACGGGTCAGGTTAGGGTCGCTGCTGTCCAGAACGGGTCAGGTTAGGGTTGCTTCTGTTCAGAACGGGTTCAGGACGTTTCAATGCTCACATCTTTAAATACCTCCATTTGTGGTATGAGAGATCTGATCATGACATGTTTTAGACCCCATTTCCAGCTGTATCTAGCGATGACCTCTTGTGATTCGATCACCAAAACGCATCGTAATTCCTGGTGTAAAAAGGGCCAGTAATGTTATTACTTGGTGTTATAATTAAGATATTAGATAATATAATTTCTACATACGGAATAGTCCACCAACGTGTTCCCTATTTTTGGGCGAAATGTTTTGAGTTTTAGTCCCAGATAACCTGCAGTCATAATCCCAGGCCAGGTGAATATGATTGAGCTGCTCTTCTCTGGTTATCGGTTCTGAGGCTCAGCGTGTTCTCTGTTGGCAGGCCCGATGGGCATCAGAATAACCTGCGCAGTGCGGCGTACGAGGCCCTGATGGAGATCGTGAAGAACAGTGCGAAGGATTGTTACCCAGCGGTGCAGAAGACCACACTGGTCATCATGGAGCGATTGCAGCAGGTCCTGCAAATGGAGGTGAAGCCCCGCCCTCGCTGCTGGCCTAGAGCAGGGCAAGCACAAACATTACATGATTCAGTGCCGATTCTCCTGAACCCTGTCAGTGGCTACATTAATGTCAAAGCTAACTGATTTGTGTACAAACGTTCAAATTACACAAGATATAAAACAAATATATTATATTTTATAAATATTTTATAAAAACTTTGAGACCATTGTTTCTACCCAAAGTTCGTTATTTTTATAAATATGAACAAAATGGTGACTATTTTATTCAAACGTACATTAAGTAATGACAACGAGGTTAAGTAAAGATTTATGTAATATGATGTATTTACCTTTTCTGAGGTAAATGTGATGTTTGAAAACGGCACAGACTAAAAGGTTGATTTGAGATTTAAGAATCCATATTGGTGCATCAAAATGAGAATAGATTAAAATATTGTTTAGCGTGTGTGAGATGTTTAGACACAGCTTGACTTGTTCTGTAAATATAGCACCAGTGTATGCGGATGATGCTGGTGTTGGCTTGATGTAATTGAATGCTTGTGTGTTTTGTCCAGTCTCACATCCAGAGCACGTCAGACAGGATCCAGTTCAATGATCTACAGTCTCTCCTGTGCGCCACCCTGCAGGTCAGCCCTCACAACGTGTGTGTCTGTGTGTGTCTGTCTCTGTGTGTGTGTGCTCAGCTCTCTTGTCCTCCAACAGAACGTGTTGCGTAAGGTTCAGCACCAGGACGCGCTGCAGATCTCGGATGTGGTGATGGCGTCTCTGCTGCGCATGTTCCAGAGCACCGCTGGTTCTGGAGGCGTTCAGGAGGACGCGCTCATGGCCGTCAGCACGCTAGTGGAAGGTGAGGCCTGCTTATCCCGGTGCTAGCATATGAGCTAAACGCGCTGTTCACGCTAGTGGAAGCTGAGGCCTGCTTATCCCGGTGCTAGCATATGAGCTAAACGCGCTGTTCACGCTAGTGGAAGCTGAGGCCTGCTTATCCCGGTGCTCGTGTCAGCTATCGGCTCTGGGTACTGCTGGAAATAAGGTGCATTGTTGGAAACCATCGCTAGTGGCCACATAGTAAATACAGACACACGTTCTCGGGCGTTGTTTCCCGCTGGTGGTGTTGATCTGGTCTCCTGTGTCAGTGCTGAAGCCAGCTAGAAACATTGATCAAATCACCTCCTGTAATCCACTGTTCGGATGCTCTTCCTCATAACAGCCGCAAGGATTAAACATCTCAGTAATTACAGCTGACAATCTTATCCTTTTCCTTTGGCTCTTTCTGTTTGAGCTGCATAACATTGCTTCTTATTTTGATATTTGTGTGACTTGACCCGTGCGAGAAGGGTTAGGATGTGATAAAAATAAGTCAAAATCTGACACAAAGTGGTTATTGTAGCCTTATTTGAGAAGCCTTCAGGACTAAAACAAGCTTCACATGAAGTTCACAAGCTTTATTCAGTGTCTCGTTACAGCTGTGAATGAACTAACTTCCCCTTTTCCTTACAATCCAGTTTTGGGCAGTGATTTCTTGAAATACATGGAAGCCTTCAAGCCGTTCCTGGTCATCGGGCTGAAGAACTACGCAGAATATCAGGTAAAGCTTGTGCCGAGGCGGTGTTGATGATTGTTCCTCCTGCTGCTTTGAGGATTTGCAGCTCAGGATTTTGAATCATCACAGAGAAAGAGAGTCTGTTTCACCCAGCGTGTGCCGACCCTGCGGTCTCGTGGCCACGCTGGATATTGCGGGACTCTACATCTGCAGGAGCTTCCACTGAGAGGCTCTTCTGTGGACCATCCACAACACAAACAACCTCGATTTTAAAATATAACCTTGAGATTCATATTTAAAATGGAGTTGTTTACACTGATTTATGGTATTGGTAGTGTTAAAATCGCATGGCCAATGTAAAGTTCTTTGAAAGGAGTCCCACAGATGCGATGCTTGTCGTGTGTGTGTGCAGGTGTGTCTGGCTGCGGTGGGGCTGGTGTGTGATCTGTGTCGAGCGCTGATGGCCAATATTCTGCCTCACTGTGATGAAATGATGCAGCTACTGCTGGAAAACCTGGGTGTAAGTAATGGCCATTTCCTTAAAGACACCTTTTTATATGTGTGTGTGTTTGTGTGCGCATGTGCAACAGAACACCCCTGAAACATCTGACATCTGTACAATGTGAGTGGTTTTGCGTTACTATAATACTGTGACATACCATATTTTCTGGAAAAGATGCACCTGGTCAGATGCATTGAGGGGAAAAAGATTGTCACATTTCAGCTGCCCTCACAAAATATCCTTTAAATTTAGTGGAATTCAGAACTAAAATGAAAAATATCAGTATAAAACAAATTATAGCAGCATTCATTATAAACACCAGTTTTGTTTTAAATGTATTTGAGCTTGAACTACCTGCATGTGAGAATATAGAAATGAACTTGAGCTTGCGTACTCGTGCACACACCTGTACTGGTTCCGAATGACTGTGTGCATGCTTGGTGTTAATCGCAGTTTATAAATTGCAGCGTTTCAGATAATTTTTAAAAAACGTATATTCCAGAAAACACGGTAATTAAGCTCTCCTAATCACTTTAGTATTCAGGTTGTCTGTTTTAGGAAACATCAGTTTAAATATTTTGTTTTCATTCCATTGACCAGATTAAAGATGTCCTTACAAATAACAGCTGTGGTGTGTGACTAGGTTGTTATAGTTTACCGAAACAAACTAAACCTTAATCGAGGCCCGTGTCGGGCAATAAGAGAACAAGTGGGGTCAATTGTGATGTTGAATTTTGATTCTGAAGCTGTTGTTTCATTAGGCTCTCTCCCTCTATAGAGCAGAATATGGTATGCATTTACAGTAGAGTAATGCTGTGACGTGTGTTTGCAGAACGAGAATGTGCACAGGTCTGTGAAACCCCAGATCCTGTCCGTCTTTGGTGATATTGCTCTTGCCATTGGAGGGGAATTCAAAAAGTACCTGGACATTGTGCTGGACACACTGCAGCAGGCCTCGCAGGCACAGGTGGACAAGGTAACCCCACACACACACACACCTGCGCACACACCAGCACACTGCCCAAAACACTCAGGCGTTCCACGGGGCATTAAAAAGCATTAAATGGATTTTGTGAAAATTAAGGCCTTAAATGGCAGTAAAAAGCATTACATTTTAATCCTACAGGCATTAAAAATTTAGATGGTCTTGTACAATTTTATATTATCAATTTATTTCAATATAGCCTTCATAATTAATCATTTTAATTTGCTGTCACAAAATATGTACGTTAGTGTGATAAATGCGCGGAACCAGTTTGGTAATTGCAACTTTGGTATAGTTTCATCATTGCCTCGTCCAAATGTTGGTCAGTGCTTCTGTGTGACTGCAGTCACTCGGGTCGATGGGGACGTCATGCGCATGCGTTGCACAGCGTAGAGTAGGAAACATTGTTGAACTGAAGAAGTTAACAGCTTCAGTGATCTATGATCTTTGCTCGCTTTCTGTATATAGTTTATATTTGACCCGTGCTGGCTAAATGAGTGGGAATGGTGAGCTACAGACGAAACAAGTGAAAAATGTCTAGCGATCCCAATGCTCCAAATAGCAATTACACATCTAAAACTATAGGGGCTTTCGCACCGGATAGTTGTAGGAACGGGCCACCCGGGGGGGTCCTGGAGAACTAATGCTTCCCGTAGGAACGTTTTCCTGGCTGCATTCGCACCGCTAGTAGGAACTCTGGAGAGACGTGAGCCGCGCTTGTTGTGACCTTTATGTTGACGGCTCTGAGAACGCCTGAGCCTGAGGAAACGGCGCTCGCATTCTCCGTGTTCATTCGTTTACGATCTAACAGTGCCGTCTAATACGTTATTAGATTGAACTGCCATACATCGGAATTTAGACAGTTAAAGTTATTAGCGTATGCCGTGCGGTTGATGTCCAGTGTCGCTGAGCAGAAATACTTAATCCTGTTTCTCTCGGTCTCAAAGTTGCGTTGGATTTTCTCCTCAGCGTAAAGGGTTAGATGCTCATCTATCACAGTTTTACATGTTCGTAGAGTTAGTTTGAGGATTAAATATATAGGCTATAATCTGTGTTAACAGCCTTTTTAATAATGGCGGGTGCTGGTGTTTCGCGTGGGTTCGGCCAATCAGCGAACACTAACGTCCCGGATAGTCCCTATAGACTCTGAAGCAGGAGTAAATTAGTTCCTCCAAAAGAGTTCCTAGAACTAATAGTTCCTGCGGCGCGAACACGCCTAACTCCGGGATCTCCCGCCAATAGTTGTAGGACCGATGAAGAGGTTCCTGCGGTGCGAAAGCCCCTAATCTTTATTTGTGCATTTTCTGAAGAGTACTTTTCCTTTGGCCATGAAAGTGCTGTTATTCTCGGCTCTCTTCTCAGCGCCTGGTGCTTCCCCTCAGCACAAGTTTGCTTTCGTTTTAAAGCGCAGTATTCCAACTTTATGAATATTCATAGCGAATTCTCAATGACTTGAGTCTGAACCAATGAAATGTGCTTTTGAAACTCATGCTGATGTAAAGAAAACGATGTTACTCGCGCTGACTGACAGAGCCGAAGTGTGTGCACAGACCCCATCGGTGTGTGTGGGAATGGATGCGTCCAGGTAACTGTTGTGAAGCTCATTCTAGAAGTGGTGGGAGTCTGGGCTTCCACATCACTTCAGATTCAACGTGTTCAGTGTCGTCCTCATGCACACGTGCTTTATAGTTGCATTTAATCATCATCTGGGGTCGTTATCAATGCCTGAAATGCTGAAATGAAGTTGGGCTTTTCTTCTTTCAAACTGGAAGCTAAACCAGGCTAACTGGGAGATTAACCAGTGGCTGCTTCTGTTGTTTCAGACAGACTATGATATGGTGGACTATTTGAATGAGCTGAGAGAAGGCTGTCTGGAAGCTTACACTGGGATCATCCAGGGCTTGAAAGGAGACCAGGAGAATGTACACCGTAAGTTTACCTTGATATCCATCTCGTAACTGTGTGAAGAGGATAAAGATTCCTGTATAAGCCATGTTTCCCTCTATCTGTGCAGCCGATGTAATGCTGGTACAGCCTCGTGTCGAGTTTATCTTGTCTTTCATCCAACACATTGCTGAGGACGAAGACCGCTCTGACGGGGTTGTTGCCAACGCCGTCGGCCTCATAGGGTAAGGACTGACGAGCAGGGTTAGTGCTGAGGGTTCCTCCACTCGCTCAGACCGGCCACTGCGAAGGGTTTTCACTGAATGTTGTTACGGACCAATATAACCTTGTATTCTCACGAAGTGCAGTTTCAAAGTTCTCAATTCCAGAGAATAAAAAGTAATAAAACAAGAACAGATAAATGCATGACAAGCCCGTGTTTTCCCATTCATCAACTAGACTCTGTGTTTAGGTTGTTCTGCTAGGTCTAACAGTGGCATTGAGGTAAGAGATTGGAAGTCCCATCAGCGGTCCTGAGTTTCTTTCACACTGGCCATGTTGTCGAGTCCTGGACCGGTTACTAAAACAATACTAGGTTTAGTCTGTAATAATGAAGAAAAGACTGGCCAATTTACAGTCTTCAACCTTCTGGGCTCATTGTGGTTCAGAGCTCCAGCAGGAGGATCTTGATTCACCAGGAAAGCTAGTGGCTGTGCTCTGCGTTTACGGAGGGGTTATAGTGAAGATTAGACACTGAATTCAGCCTTTTCTGCTCTCGCAGTCATTGGGTTTAGAAGGACACTGCCGATTTCTTTTTTGGGTGATTCCAATTAATCCTGTTTATTGGTCTAGCATGTTTCTTCTGTTGCTCTAGTATGCAAGTTGACATTTCTTCCCCCCTCCTAAAGTGACCTGTGTACAACTTTTGGGAAAGACGTGATGAAGCTGGTCGAGGTTCGACCTCAGATCAACGATCTGCTGACTGAAGGCCGGAGGTCCAAGATCACGAAGACCAAGACTTTAGCCACATGGGCCACGAAGGAGCTGCGCAAGCTGAAGAGCCAAGCTTGGTATGTGTCTGCACCTCCCTCATCAGACCCGTTCCTGCAGGGCTCTATTCACACACACACACACACACACACACACACACACACACACACGAAGGCTGAGAATGTCACAGTGCAAGTCTTCAGGCCTGTTCACGCCATCATGAATGTTTGAAACGATTTATGTAGACCAAAGCTAAAAAAACATCTCACGTGCTGAATGAAAAAGCGTTTCATTCTCGAGCAGTATGTGGGAATACAGCAGAATGTGCCGTTAGCTCACCAGGCCTGGATTGGTCATACATATTCGATGCATAGAGAAAAGTGAAGCCTATTCATTTGAGGGTGAAATGTGCCGTGTACGTGTTTCTTACATTTGTTTTACTATAGTTTAAAGGGTTCGTTCACACAAAAATGAAGATTCTGTCAGTAATTACTCTCCCTCATGTTGTTCCAACCCCGTTAGACTTTCGTTCATCTTCAGAACACAAATTAAGATATTTTTGATGAAATCTGAGAGCTGGATCACTCCTCCTTCTATAGGCTTCTATTGTAATTGAAACTTGCCGGCCCAGAAATTAAGTAAAAACATTGTTAAAATAGTGCAAGTGACTTCAGTGAGCCGGCGTTCTGGCGAAGCGCTGCGCTGTTACACTATGTGAGCTCATTCAGAAGAAGAAGAATAGTTGAATAAAGTCTTCTTTTTTTTTGCACAAGTAATCTCGTCGCTTGATAAACTTAAGGTTGAGCCACTGTAGTCACTTGCACTATTTTAACAATGTTTTTACTTAG